ACTCCTCATTCTGGATGGATGCCCCATTCCTGGAAGTGTTCAAGGTCAGGCTAGATCAAACTCTGAGGAACATGGCCTAGAGGAAGGTGTCCCTGCATATGGCAGGGGGGTTGGAAATAGATGATCTTTAAGGTGTTTTCCTACCCAAACCATTCTATGATTCTTTAACAACTGACCTGACTGCAGTAAAATGAACCAAGTTACACTGGTGGAATAGTGTCAAGCCATCACATGGCAGAGCAATTTACAGAAGTTAAGGGTTATTAATCTCTCATGCTCTCTCTGAAATTAAAATCCCTACAAATTAGGTCTCTAAGACATGCTGTGTGCACAGAACATTATCTGGTGTGTGAGAAAAAACTGGGTACATTCCAGCCTGCGAATTGTACACTACCATAGCATAAGGTCACAACATAGTCACTGCCACTGACAGAAGCACTGGAAATGTTCTGGAATTCAGTGAGGTCAGGTCTAGGCTAGGTGGTCCTTCCCGCCACAGAGATGCACAAACTGCAATCTGGCCACCTCTAGCTGACTTTCCACTCCTGTGCTATGCCTCATCTACAGAAAAGAGGTAGGAAGCTGGCAGGGATTTTTCTGTGCCTCCTCACCAAGCTGCAGGGCAGCTCTGCTGAAGCTCAGATATGGACAAATCCATACCTTCCTGCCCCAAAGGTGGACAGCAGCACCAGTCCACAAGATGGAAAACCAAGCCACACACTTTCCCATCCCATGTTATTTAACAGAAGTATCAGCCTTATCCATGGCATTATCATGTCTGTCTTGTATTTAAAAACAATCTCACTTTTCTTATTAGTCCAAGGGTAAGAAGAGGTCACACAAACCATTATAGAGCCTAAAAGCCAGATATTAATTTTAAAAGACTGTAACAGCTTTGTGCTCTGCCAAAAAAAAAAAAATAAATAAATCACCATTTCAGATGATGTCTTACATGCACTGGCTTCTCAGTAAAAGGAATTTACCTTTTCATTATTATTTACTGACTGTGCTTGTATTTCATTTGTATGGATTTTATCCAGTGAACCGGTGGAAAAGACAGCAGCCTCAGAAAAATTTAATAAAAAGATGGAGACAGTGAACAATCATTGGAGTCTGTATCTTGACTTGAGGTCATATTTCTGTTTCTTTTATTATGTTCATTTCAGGGAAACAAAAAGCATTTCAGGGAAACAAAAAACTCCTGGATGGGAGCAAATCAGAGCTGCTAATGGCACTGCTAGATTCTTCATGAGCAGCAGTGCCCAAAAACACATCTGTGACAAAATCAAAGAATTCACCCTCACTGTTAAGCTTGAGCAGCCAGTTTGTCACACAAATAAATATTAAAAATCCCCAAGACTTTTTAGCAGCTTTCTAGTCCAACTGCACATACTCTTACATGGCTGAGTCAAGATCTGTGTTTTGCAGCACACACTGCCCCCTCAGAGGGCTGTACTGGGACCAGTACTGTTCCACTTCAATGACAGAGGGAGCAAGTGCACCCTCAGCAAACTTGCAGATGACACCAAGCTGAGCAGGGCAGCTGGTACACCTGAAGGACAGGGATGTCATCCAGAGGGACCTGGACAAGCTCAAGAAGTGGGCCCAGGGAGATTTTGTTGTGGCCTTTCAGTATTTATAGTGGGCTTATAAGAAAGATGGGGACACAGTTTTTAGTAGAGTGCTCAGTGATAGGACAAGGCGTAGTGGTTTTAAAGTAAAAGGTAAAGTCAGACTGGATGTAAGGATGCAATTTTTTACAGTGAGGGTAGTGAAACACTGAAACAGGTTGCTCTGACAGGTGGTAGGTGCCCAGTCCCTGGAAACATTTGAAGTCGGGCTGGACAGGGCTCTGAACAACCTGATCTATTTGAAGATCATTCTCTGCTCACTGCAGTGGGGTTGGACTAGATAACCTCTAAAGGTCCCTTGCAACCCAACCCATTCTATAGTAACACCACATTATACCCCAACAATTAGAGCTTGCAGTCTAAGTTGAAGCACAATTGCATATAAAATCAGTCTTCATTAGTGCTTGTAGTGATAGATTCCTTTATCCAACAGCTACATAATATCCAACATCCACACCAAAGAAAAAAACCAGAGCTAGGGACCTAGGAACCTCCTTCAAGAGCATTAGTACTAATACTTTAGAGAAGGCTTCAACAGCCAAGGTCTGCTTTGATCTTAGTTGTGTCTCTTTAGGGTTTTCTTTTCTCCTTTCCTTAAAATCTCAGTACTGTTTAAAATCCTTTCAATTCCTCAAGCAAGAACTTGCATATTGAAAAATATCAGGATTGACCAATTCTTCAGAAGTACTAGTTAAAAGAAGGAAGAACAATATATCACATCTGCCAAGTCTGATATTTGAAGTCCTCTACAAGTTATACCAGACAAATATTGGGGAAAGTGAGGGAAGACCTAAATCTTAACTAGAAACCTTTTATCTGTCTGTTCAGTAATGGAGATGACAAGGATGTTTTTAAGTACCCTAAATCCCAGGGTAAAACCTAATTTAGGTTTGGCCCAGGAGCTTCTAGAGTCAACACTGAGGTTTTCGTAACAAGTTTTCAAGGATTCTCAACTTGAGCTTTTTTTCACTGGCTTCCTTCATGTCAGCTATGAGCTGTCTATAATAACAGCCTGCAAACATTTCATGTATTAGAGACAGAGCAACTTATCAGGATACAAACAGAATCTTTAGCTATAACCACTGTGCTCAAGGAAATAACACATAGATTTCAGCAACAGGAAAATAATATTTGAATTGGATTCCATCATCACCTCTAAAATCAACTAGCTGGGTTTTTTTTCCCCTCAAGACCAGTGAGGTTCTTTTCGAGCTACAAAGAGGCCAACCCTTCTCTAAACTCTTTCTCTAAATCTAAACAAAAATATGTACTTAGGTCCTAGAATAAGAATCAATGCTCTATGTGCCCAGCACTAGAAACTAAGACTTCAAGTTCAGCCACTGGATTTCTTGAGCTGTCTCTACTGATACCACCCAAAACAGCTGCAACATTTCCCAGATCTGTCAAGGGGAAAAGGAAAAACACGTACAAAAAGCTTTCCAAAGGCAGCAGAGTGGCCTAGCTGGCACTGAGTCAAGTCACAACTTCTATGCACTGGCCTCCTTCTATTAGTCATTGTGGTATACATCGCTGCCCTATAAAAATACTTCTCCAAAGTTAATAAAACCATCCAAGGAATGTGGATCTGATGTCTGTAACAAATCTGGGATATGGTCCAGAACCATCTATTAGTAGTCACACCACTGCCTACTCAGCCTCCCTGAACACTTTTTCAGAGCTACATGAGAAGTCCAGGGATACAACACCAAACACCTATCAAGAGTCAAAGAACACACAAAAGGTCTTGCTTAATAAAGATGTAAAGGTTCAAGAAACCTCCTCAGCTTATTCATTCACCTCCATCTTCTCCACTCATTTAGCAATTAAGAATTGACTGCATGATGCCTTTCCTCATGGTCAGTGCCACTCATACAGCTCATCTACACATTTCCTTGATAAATTCTCTCAAAAATAAGTCAGACTTTGTTAAAAATTAGTTCAGTGGAAGCTATTTGTAATTAATCACAGAACTCCATTTGGTTTGCCAGACAACATTTCATTACAGTGACACTGTACTACCTTATCATCCTTCCACTTAGCTGGACTTTTTGCCTTAAAATTCGGTTTTGCCCTAAGTGAGAAGCAAACTGCAGTCTTCGGCACTTTTCCCAAAGCTCACAATCCTGTTGCTGTAAACACGTGCACCCCAATGAGCACAGTCAAGATTTCCTAAAACCACTGCAGTTCAGTTACTGATGATCAACTCCAAAAGCAGGAATAGAGTAGAGGGCCCAACATGAGGAATAGAGTAGAGGAACCGTGAAGGTTCTCTTAGGAATCACACATTTAAACCTTCATCAAAACAGTTCTTGTTCCACCTACTGAGAAACATATCACAATCTATACCTTAAAAGAAATATTTAAAATATATACACACACCAATATTTATACATAATAGATTTTTAAATGTGTCACCTAAACTATATTTTACATGTGTATGCACAGGTGCACACGCAGGCATGTTTTTAAGAAGGTAAGTTGTCCTTACAAAGCTTCCTATTTTGAGTGCAATCCAGGAAAGCTCAAGCTCACAGCTATATCCATAAATTATGACAAACACATTCATTAGCCCAAAGCTTGCAGGACCAGTTCATCTTAACAGTAATAACATAACTCAGTTCACAGTTGAGCTAGGTTCACATCAAGCAAAAGACTTTTGCTGTGTCTCACCTGTCTTACCACTCCAACCCTTTTAATACAAACAAACTTCCTTCTTAAAGGCCTGCCATGCTACACCTGAAAACACTTCTCTGAAAACCCCTTCCTCAGTGTTTTCTCCCAAGGTCACATATCTCCAACAGGCTTCGCAAGCAGATTTCCAAGACACAGATATGCTGCATGTCCATATAATATTCAATGACTAAATATATTTGTCTTTGTGCAAGTGCACGAACTGAGAGATAATGAAAAGCAGATCAGGAAACCCTTTTTTTGGAAACTATGTTCTAACATTTTTAAATTCTGATTTGTAGAACAGCAACATATTTTTCCAGCATTACATTTAAATTCTCTTTGCCACAGGAAAAAGTCACTTAAAAATGAACTCTTAAATTTAGAAGCTAATAGTTCCAGTTAATTATATATTCATTAGTTGAGTCTCCCTGTTATGGCTTCATGCTGTAATTTCAAGTTCAGTCTGTATGAGGAGTCACTCCTGCTTCGAAAAGAAAGGATAAACACCAAGCCATAGAGTCCAAGGAGAGGGAAAATAGGAAAAAAAAAGTCAGGTTAGAAATCAGGTAGAGATCAACTACAACTGGTCCTTTATGTCAGTGACCGAAGTTTCCATGACTCTAATGTTAAGTTCTCAGGAAGTATAACTGTTTTAATTACATACACTTAGAGAACAGTATAAATGCCACAAAGACCCATTAGAAATATAGAATTTATTTTTCATTACATTCAGACAGCAATATGTTGCATATTTGGACATGCCACATCTTGTACCATAGGTGACTTATGGAGCCTATGTTTATAGTTGTGGTAGCTATTGCTAGCCCAGAAAACACAAAATGTGTTTTTGGAGTGGTTCTCTTGAGAACTTTAAGCCACCAGCAGCAATTTTTACAGAAGGGTACTCCTGAAAATCCACTTCATAAAAATTCATTATCCAACTGTTTCCTGTCTCTTACCTTTACAGTCTCAGAGCTCAAGAAAGCAATTTCAACAATAGCAGTGGGCAGGGAGATTGAGGACTTGCCCCTTATCTTCCCTCAGGTAGCAGTTCTCAGTAAAGATGATACCGCGTTGTAAGGCCACCAAATTCCTCATGGGCCATGAACTGTGCTTTTGGTAGGGCAGCTCCTTTCCCATCCTAGGGTCTCTGCAGCCCTTGCTTCCATTCCCTCCTTGCACATCCAGGTGCAAGCTAACCCAAGAGTGAATCTTACAGTTCTGACAATATCCTAAAACATGTTATTTAAAAAACCTACAACAAAAACTCAGTGAGCCACGGGGGGGAAAAAAAAGACAACATTTTGTTATGTTTAAATCTTCAGTGTACCATAAGCAAGAGGTATCTTCACAACCAGTTTTCCTGACAGCATCTATTCAGTGTATTTCCCTTCATCCTTACAAACTCAGAAACTCTGGGGTGCTGTTTTCCTTGTGTCTCTTAACTCTGCTGGCATTCAGCTCAGGAATACCAGGAGCTGCAGTGCATCATCACATAAAGATGGGGAGGGGTAGGAGAGTGAGAAGAGTGAATAAGGAGGAATACAGAGGCACTGTCCTTGGCAGGCTCTGCACCAGCCATACAGAGAATATGCATACACGTCATGAAGGGTTTTATTGTTGTCTTGCTCTATTTTTTGTCCTTTTCTTTTTTTAATTAAAAAACATTACTCCTGCTAAGGCTGGTTGTGCAAAGTTAACTTTCAAGAACCACCATTCAGTCTGACTCTGTTCCTGCAGACAGGCTTCCTATGGATCCATTTCTCACTAGCATCCTGCTGTAGTTTTTCTGCTGTTCTTCTCTGAAAGTATCTTTGACTTTCGCTCGTTTCAGACCTCCATCCCTGAAATAGAGCAAGAGGGAAAAGTAACCCATCAGGACTGTTATGACTGTTGTTATCAAACTATGCATTACGTTAACTGTAGAGTCTAAATTTAAAGTATTATTATTAAAGGATTTTCTTTAGAACTTCTATAACATCCAAGTTTAAGCATGTTTATTAAAACCTTTACCTTAAGCCACAATTTGTATGAAGTCCAAATTTTGAGTCTAGCTCACTAAAGAAGCCTACTCATGCTGGTAACAGGCTGTACCTACAATAGAAATCTTTGGCAATCTGGGATACTGCTTCCCTAGCCTGTAGGGGAAGTCAACCTTGTGCAACACCATAGTTGTCTCTTGCCTTACATCATTCAGAGGGCCAGCTGGACCTCACAGTTGAATATATTTGCCCACTCTTTTCATCAAAATCTTGCTCTGAAGTTTGTTTTATATGAAATCTAGGCATTGTACTGCCACTTACTGAAGTAGGACATGAGAAAGTCAGAGCAGAAAGCCTCAAGCCCCATTTTTTGTTCAGGTTTGACAAGTAACTTCACTTCTGCTGCTTAATCACAGCAGAAGTCTCAACATGAGGAACAACTGTGAATGGGCTGCTTCAAAAGCATCAAGCCTTCAGGTGAAAATCATTCCATGTTACACACTCCAAAGACTTTGTGCATCTTTATTTTTACTTTCACATACGTGCACGTGGATTTACTCCTTTGCTTTCTCCAGAGTGTAATAAAGTGATGTTGAGTGTTATCTGTCACAAAGCTAAGGGAGGAAGCACCTCTCAATCAAACTAACAGAAAGTCCATGAAGTCTAACAAGGATGGCATTACTCACCAGGGAAGTTCAGTCAGTCCTCCTTGGCGAGCAATGGCTGACCTCACTCTGTTGGCAAAGTGAACAGCATCTTCATCCTCCTTCAAGGGTCATAAATTCAACATAAAGCAGAGAGAAGTGAATTGAAACAGGATTTAATAACATTTTTATCTGCTGCCTCATCAAATTAGCTCACTGCCAAATGATTTGGTCCTTATCATGCCAACATCACAATCTGATGTCCCCTTGTGGTAATAATTTAATTCATTTTTCCCCTAAAGTGTTGAAACTAGCAGAAAATTTTGCTCCAGCAGGATGCAACATTGACACTATTGTGATGGTACCAAGCTGCATCAGGAAAAGCTAAGTCCAGTCATACATCAGTCAACACTGACAAAAATCCAATACAAAATTGATATGGGGGTATGGGGTAAGTAGAGGTTTTGGGGGAAAAGAGTAAAAAGGTCTTGCAGACACAGTCAAGTTCTTAAACAGCAATTAGTCAGCCAGATGCTAGATTACCTCTCTAACCATTGGTGGCAAGTACCACACGTTGCAAACAATGGCCCAGCTTGTCATTATTCGCAGCAGGTAGCTCACGATGTTGTATTTGCTGCTGTTCCAGAATGCATCTCCAAACTGAGGATCATACTGCAAAGGATCACAAAAAACAAATCATAAAACCCCTTCCCCACAGACCATCACAGCCTCCTGGATCTGTGATTACATGACAGAACCAGTAGCAGATGTCACTCATTTGCCTGAACAGCCAAAACAGTTAAGTCTGCTGTGAGCAGCGTGGTTCCCTTCCCTTCAGTACTGGGAGGGACTAGCTGGATCTCCCTTCCTTTCAGCTTTCTGGAGGAAGAAGCTGATCCCATCAGGGACTACCAGCCAGGTTCCATAGGCCAAGGGATTTCACTTTCATTTTAGCCACTTTTACTCCAGGAGTTATCCACAGCACACAGCCAATTGCCAGAGCTACTGTACTGAGACAGCTTCCTGCCACCCAGACAAAAACAGATCCCAAACTTTGAAATTTAGCAGACAATTTTTTCCACTTACTTTGATTGCAACAGGATAGATTGTCCCTCCTATTTCAAAGCTCCCCTTCTTGAACATCATCACAGATGTATTGTTTATGCAGGTGCCTGTCCAGAAGATAAAGTCATTGCTCCACACAGCCTACCACATTTCAGTAGCAACACTGTATCAATGTACAGGTCCTGCCCATAAAGGCCTGCATTTGCTGCTCAGGGAGTGTAACTTAAGCATCTCTCCCTTCCTTACTTTTATCCTTTGTCTTTTGACTGACTCCCTGAATAAAGCCCAAATGCGTGTGAGACAAAAAGCACAATGCTGAATTTAAATCTATAGGACAGTGAATTGATATTCACAGGGCAAAATAAACAATCTTCCCATTCTTCTGCCTAGAGCTTCTGCCAGGAGAACCAACAGTTGTGTTGTCTCCACGTAATCTCGTACGAAAGATGAAAAATAGGAATGCCCTAACCAAGTTTATGGCAAGGGTGAAGATACAACTGAGCAGCAGAAGCCATGGAAAGAGAACAGGGATGACATCTACTTTGAATGGAGATAAGTAGTTCAGCTTCTTACCTTCTGGAAAAATTAAAATTGGAAGCTTGCTTTTATCTGCCACATGTTCCCTGAGTCTGTAAAAGCAGAAGGAAAGCTTAAAAGACAATTTCTTTCCAGTCTTCTTTCCCCAGGCAGGTGCATTAAAAATATCTTTACATATTATGTATTTGTTTGAAAGCAAAGGCTTTTACTAGACACTAATTTGTACTTGCTTTTCTGATTATAAGAAAACTGAAGTTTTGTGCAAGCCACCCCTTAGGCCCGTGGTGCATTACACTGAGGCAACATCCTGTTTTCCTTCCTCTATATTATTTTATTAATGACTGTCAGGAAAGCCAACAAATGTATGCCATTAAGTCAGTCCAACCAACTCTGATCAACTCAACCTTCAAGAAATTACCCACATAAGAAAAAAAAAAAAATTGTGCAGTGGTCCATCCAGGTTTTGCTTACTTAACAGCAGATTTCATAAAAAGTGGGTTCCTAAATGCCTACAGCTCACACTATTTGAATAACACTTGGATAACTTGGCAAAGCTGTCCTGCTGTGCAGAGGCAAATAAGAGGTGGTAAAGAAGTTAACCTGTCAAAATTAACCTAAAAGTTCTTTAAAAATTAGGAAGAATTTCTATCCCTGTACTACTGTGTCCACAGTTATGCCTTTGGTGACATTCTGCAGAAAACCACTTTTTGTAATCAGCTCATTCTTATAACTAGACACCTTCTGCCCCTCACCCAAACAAGTGAAGCTTGGTATTTCCAGTGGCTCACAATTTCAAATGAAATTGAGAGTTTGTATCACAGAAAGCCCATTTTATGATCAGTATTTCTCTTCAACAGAAAATCTCAAAATTTAAATAGCTTCCCATCCTTTTAAAATGTATATCTGAATTCACCAGACATTAGTTATAATGCTGATGGCTACCCAACTGAGATGTTTTGTGACAGTCCACTATTCAGACCTTACCAGAACTTTTGGGCTCATCCATGTTACCCTGTACAAACTTTTCAAGCCTTTGTTGGTGACCTTGACACCTGACATTTTGACCAGTCTACTGCACCAAAGCCCACACAAACAAGCTTATTCAGGTCATTCTGAGTGATCCAGTTTCCTGCATACCACCCCTGGAACTCACTCCAAAAACCCCTCGTCTGGGTCTTTGATTGTCCAGTGACTCTCCAGGGAGTCGGGCACGGGGAGGTAGCAGAGACACACCTCACCTTTTCGTCACTAGATGGCGATCCTTGATCTCGGAGCGTTCAAACCAGACGTGAGGACAGGCCTTGACCGTGGCTCGCTGGATGACTCCCATCAGCCCACCATGAACCTGGCCAACCTGCAAGCCCAGCAAGGCACATCAGCATCTAAGACACTTGAAAAGCAGAACCTCCTCTTATGCATCTCTCTTAAAAAAAACCCCAAATGCACTGGAGACTGCAAACCAGGATCAAGCAGCAAGCACAAAACTGTTAAACTGCATTCACTTGAGAGGACTTAGGTGCACACAGGGAAGTGTATCCCAAGTAGGTGAAGAGCCTAGCACTGACACTGCCAGGACAACTTCACCAGCATGTAAATTGAAGACCAACTTCAACACTAGTGCTCAAGTAGATATCTCTAAACCATGGAAGTTTAATACTGAAGTCCACAACCAATACCCCACAATCTTTCCCTCTCATGGTCCCTCCTCTCCCTCTGCTGTGGTCATAATGGATCTGCTCATACCATGGCATAGCATCCATCATTTGTCAGAATGATTGCATCTATCGGTGATGTGTGGTTGGCAACACAAATTCCTCCTTTCTTAGGTCTGTTTTCCCTGCAAGTACATATTTTTTGGTTAGACTACTAGTGCACTAAGCATCACATTACACACACAACAGTTCCATAAAGCTGCCAGGTGACTCAGTATCTAGTGTGACATTAACTTGCAGGTAAAAAAAGAGCAGCCCCCGTTTCAAATGGGATGCTCACACACACAGAAGTATACACACACTTTTGCTATTGTCACTCACTTGTTATGATAATGGATGGTACCAGACAGAGCTCTGACGAGGATGCGGGAGCACGTGAGGTGGACCAATTCACTCAGGTAGTTTTTCACACTGAAAGAAATCACAGATATTTGGAGCACCCTGGAAAGCAGCTAGACACACATACAATATTCTCCAGCCTACTCAATACAACTCAGGACTGAAATTTTCCTGGTGTTCTGGAGCACAGAGGGATATTCCCAGTTCTACCACTCACTTGCTATTGCAGCTCAGCCAAGATATGTCATACTCTTGGTGTCGCTTATCTAGGCAAGGCTGTAATCTCCTTACTGGATGTTTTTCATCCCAACACCATTACCTCCGCTACAACGCTCCCTTTGAGTCTCTCCTGAGAGCATGAGGAGCCCTTTAGAGATCTCAGTGCCAAGCCTGGCAAGAAGCCAACCTCAACCCAAAATCAAAATGCCACTAAAAGCAAGGTCACAAATTTGCGGTTCAAGTGGACTATCAGTAGTCTGTTTGTAAAATCTGTCTGCTCCCCATCTTCAGCTGTTTGCACTGATGCAACTTGGCAAGTTCATCCTTTACACGCAGTACCTACCTGCTGTTTGGCAGCTGGCCTACCAATGTTGTTCCCACAATCATTGACGAAATCCCAATGGCAGCGAGGGTAATGCTACACACAACACAGACATTAAATCAAAATAAGTATTTTATTCATTGTAACAACACTTTCTCGCTACAAAATAGAAAGGGATTGCAGAAATTCAATTATTCCTCAGATACCCAACTTCTACAGTTCACTAACTCAGCAATCCCCTGACCTGTTGCTCAAAATCATGGTCTAGCAAAGGCAGCAGATTCAGATACAGTGTAAGGGAGCTTTACAGCTCACCCACCTTACACTTATACTGCCAATACACATGACTGTGGGGAAGAATTCATGGGAAAGATGATTACTTAGCCCTAATCTACTCTCCACAGTGAATGGCAAGATAAAAGTATTCTGAACAGCAACTTAACCATTAAAAGGAGTCTTTAAGCAGGTTAATCTTCTGTATCTGCCAATGCTGCCTTTCGACTAAAAGCAGCTGAGATGACATTTACCAAGAAAACACAAATTTATGCATTCCCAGGCTGCCAAAATCCATCAGCACCCACGAGCTTACCGTAGGGGCAGCAGGAAGCAGTACCGCACTACAACCCCAATGACCCACACAATAGTCAGCCTCAGGCTGATGTAATGGAAGTTGACATTAGTCCTCGTCAGGAGATTCCAAGAGAGCAGCTCTTCTGAGGAAAACCTCTGGGTGACTGCATCATCCACAATAGCCCCAAACCCTTTTCTGCAGAAGTAGAAAACGTCAGAGAATTCGAAATTCAGTTCATCCATATGTGCAATTTCTTCCTCCATAGACGTTTCATCTCTTTCAATGATACCTTGGGAAGGAAATGGTAACCACATGAGGAAATAATTCTGTGAATTAACAGTCATTCTCCAAATCACTTGTCACTCTGCATTACCCAAGGAGACAAACTGACTTTCAGAGCCCCTCCTATGACAGCAAGATCAGCTGGGTAGTTGAACACAGCATACTCTTCAGTAGGCAAGTTCCAGCTCCCCTTCCTCACATCTACTCCTTGAGCAGAAAATACATCAAATTCTGTTGCCTACTGAACATGAAGCAAGAAGACTAACCCTTTCCCACCATCTAACATGCTCTCAACTCTGCAACTTTATCCAAGACCATTTTATGCTTTCAGAAGAAACCAGGTGAGATCTTGTCCTTTACATTCCCTTCTGTGTTCTGTATATTTGTAGGCATTTATTCTTCTCAATGGAGGCTTTCCTGTTCCCTAAGCCCATCTTATATTGTGGTGTTCCTCAGCCACATTCAGCTGAAATGTGTTCTGCTGTTACTTGCCAAAGCCCCAGACCACAACACTGTGCATGGACCAGCTTTGAACCAAATGCACCTTCCTCCCTCCACAGTACAAGTCTTTCCTATAAGTAACCACACAATTTTTTTATTTTAGTTAAAATCAAACAAAGAAACATATCAAACAAAGTCATGCCTAGAGGTGCCTTACTATAATTTACTTCAGTTGTGTTTCAGTTGAACTCTGAGCACGTAATGCCTGGCAAAAGAGGAGAAACCTGGACAGTTCAGAACTGCAGTAGCAATAGGAAGTATTCCCTCTTCTCCTCCCCTCTTTTCACTTTTTATACTTATGGTCTGATAACCTCCGATTTCTCACTAGGGCTTTTAAAGGCAAGGACAAATTGTGTAAGCTAAATAAAAAGATCAAGTAACTGCTTTCTGGTAAGCAAGTCTGGCTCCAGAAACTGATGACTGAAGAAATTTAGAGTAACAGTTCACCAGAACAACCATCCCCTGAGACACTCAACTTGGATTACAGAGGTCCAAGTTCAGGTTGCCACTCTGTCAGACATCCTCTGACAAATTGCATAATCCTTGTGCTGCCATGTTGAGATAAAAAAGGGAAAGGACGTAGGAAAGGACGAGCTACTAAGAACTTTCCACATTATATTAAGTGTTTTTTGTAGGAAATCTGCATCCCAATGAAGTCTTGCCAGCACAAAAACTCTGAACATATTTGCTGTGCAAATCACACACAACATTTAAATTACAAGTGATACGGAAAATCTTCGTATTGCACTGTAGCATACATATGGGATAACATAGGAAGCTCCAAGATGCAAGGCCCACTAATTACTGAGGACAATGCTAAAGAACAACATCTAAGAGATGTCACACTGAAACAAAACCTATTAACACCTTCAGCTTTGAACCTGGCAGCCATGTCTTCCAATTCCACCACACCACCTCACCACATCATCCTATCACAAGCCTACAAATATAATTCATTAATATGAAACACCAAAATGGCACACCACATGCCCTTCAGGACCTAAATTATACAAGCATGCATCACATCAAACATTCACCAGAATAAACTACACTTGTGTTGTATTTTAAACCCAAATCAGAGCTCTAGTTTGTGGTTCAATTTTTTTCTCAGTCAGTCCCCTAAACCTCTAAACTTTGAAACATCCAGGACTGTAGGCAAATCAGTCGAACCTGTCTGCTCCACACTGCTGGAGACAGGTTGTAGGCAAGAAACCAGGGGAACTCTCCAGCACTCATCACACAAGTATCACTCTTCTCTCCAGATGCCAGAACTAGGAACACTTCCTCCTTATCCAGACTCTGGTTCAGCACCAGTTAAGCATCTGCCTCACCCGGCTACAATTTCTTGGCTGAAACCAGCCCAGGGTTCAAGATTATCTGCTGGCAAGCTGAGAGAGCACAGCTGTACTGTCTTGCCTCATCAGCCTGCACTGTCCTTGTCACATGATGCCCCCATGCACCAGCCCTGGGACAAGCCAGGATCTCAGCAGCACACGAAGGTATTATGAACAGAATGGTAACACATGCTGCTCTGGTCATGTACTTAGCTGTCTTGTAATCAGAAGGAACATTTAATGGCCTTTAATCCTTGGCCATGGGCAGAGTTGAGTTTGCCAAAGACAGCACTACACAGAAGAACAGCCAACATCACTCTCAACCAAACAAAAAGCCATAGCAGCAGCTTTACTTGGCGTTGCTGCACAAGCCCCAAGCCTTCAAGCTCACATATTCTAGGTCACCTGATTATACCAGGCTCAAACTTGATACTGTCTACTTACACAGTAAGTATATACTACATAGTGAGTAGATGCTACTAACATTATTTGCTTAAACTTTTCTTTTATTGGATGTAATTTTCGAAACTGACTTAATAGCATTTTGTCTTTTTTAAACCCACCAGCTTGAAGATAACACAGCCAACACCCACACAGAGCTGAGAGCTGGTTATTCAGCTGCAATGAGATAGACATCAAGCCTCCAGCTACCTGCTCAGCCAAGAGCTACCATTGGCTCCAGCACAAACACGCTGCCCTCTAACACAGAGGCACCCTGAGGTGAAAGCACCAGGTAACTGCCTAAAGCAACTACATTTCTCCCTGGACTATTCCTTATCACAGCACCAGTGCAGGGGCAGTGGTTGTCATTTCTGCCAAGAGATGTGAAATACACTGGGTTTGGTACTGCAGAGGAAGGTGGTGTCTCCTCAGTTGTGCTCACTTATCTTTGTCTTTTTTTTTTATTCACGGACACAGTTTTAAGGTGTTTGGGAAGACCATTTTTGCTCTGCCTGCAAACAGGAAAACTTGCCCTTGCACATGCATATGCAATGCTCCCTCCTATCCTGACCCAACTCTTAGTGATCACTGGATGGTCAAGAAAGATGGAAAAGGTGATACACACTCCCTTACAACACAACGTGCACATGCGTACACACAAACATTTACCTTTACCCTGTTTTATCAACTACTCTGTAACTCATTATCAGCAGGAATTTCTCCTCCCTCAGTAAATATTGTGTAATGCAATTGGGCCTCTCTGCCTGCTCATGTTTTGTCACCTCAGGGGATGCCAACTTATATAATGCACTGTTAGACCTACACCTGCCCTGACCCTCCAGCACTTTCATCCACATACAGGAATCCAGACTCCTAATTACAAGTCAGTTATTCCTATGCTTAAAATACTCCCAAGAGCAATACCCAGAGCACAGCTTGGCACAGCAGGCTTCATATCTCCCCTGCTTCCCACACCTTCTCAATAAGTAACAGTTAAGACTAGCTTCCTGCAGAAAGAGCCATCTACAGTGGGGAAGGGTTTTAACCTTTTATTTCAGATATAAAAAGGACATTAAAAAGTGGTGCTTCAGGCCACCACTGCAATTGTGTATCCCCATACATAAGACCACCTGAACACAGCCCCCATGCAATCATCTGTATGAATTATCTCAGACCATTTTTACTATCAATGATGCTGCTCCAGACAGTGGAGTACACTCAATTTAGTCTGAACCATGGCACATATTAACACTATACACCCCTCAGTCATGCATAACACAACCAGCTATTTGGAGTTTTTTGGAAAGATAGCTCATTGATATATCTACTAACTGGGACCTCTCCCTTTTCTTTTCTAGAGAAGAAATAATTACACATGAGAATGACCAGATGTCTAGGAATACAAAATCTCCTACTGCACAACTAAAGCAGCACAGCCAGATCTCTTGCCCTTTTCCTGACCCATGGCATAATGGGGCACTATCAGCCTTACAAGAAGAAAACAGGTATCTTGCTGCATCACTGACAGCCTGTGAAGCACATAACAGGGCACTGACATTATTTGGAAGGACCTTGCCTTCCCCTGCCATCCCCCAGAAATATCCCACAACTGTCAGGACACTGGTTAGTGATATAGAATGTACTTTTTCTCAGCCACTTTAAAGTCAGCAATTAAATAAGACAAGTTTTAAGCTGTTTTAAGAGCTGCTGGGCAGTATCTCCAGTTTATTATTACAGGTGCTGACACTTGCATCTGCTACCATCGAAGCCTGTTTCATGCCTGGCCTGCAGATAGTAAGATACCAGTGTTTACAGTATTGATAAAGATACTCCTCTGCAGATGAAACACACACAACCAGTTCAGCAATTCAGTCCCCATTACTGCCTCATGTTTGCATGAGCTAATTCCTAGAATCAGGTAACAACTGACTCGTCTACTAACTGGCAAGCTGGGCCTGTTTCCAGCTGTGCTGCCTAATGAGAGAGCACATAGAAAATGCTGACACTGCTGCCAAATGCTGTCAAAACCAAGCAAATGATTAGCAATACTGAGGCATTCAGGAATCAGGAGAAAACCAACTGCAGACTGCAATGCCTTTTGAGCCTTCTCCTGTTTCCTAGGCTAACTCAGACTGCTCTCACAGCTCCAAAGTCTTACAGCCAACTCTGACCTACTACAGCCTACCAACTGACCTACTACGACTCACACAGACTATGGGTTAAGACATAGTAAAAAAACCAATTTCAAAATTAGGCTAAAGGAAGAATTATGAAGCAATTTTTCAGCTGTCTTTCTACAGACAAGGAGTGTAAGAAGTTTGACAAACACTGATATAAACTCCAGGGGGCAAAAGGCTCATAGAAGCAGACTGAAAAAGGGGAATGAGTATAACACCACACACTTTAATCTGGCAGCCCTACAACAGGAAAGCACTGAGCTTGGAAAAGAAAAGTACTGTCCAATAAACATTCAGATCTCCTCAGAGAATATTTTCAGTGTACTCTGATGCTGTTAGGACTGAGATAGCTGGCCAGCAACCCTGCAGAAAGTGACTTAAAGAGATTTCAAGATAAAAATCAACCTTATATTTAAAATTGAAAACTTCCATCAAGTTTGAGGATGGTCTCCATCTTACGCTTTACTTTGTTTTGTTAAACTTAATGTTATTTCATACACTTCATTTCCTCATCCCCTGTTTGTCAACCATTCAGTACAAGCCGGTAAAAAAAGCATTTCATCCTGCAGGAACAGCAGCATTGTAAAACAATTAGATGCATCAGAGTGCTGGTTTTAGCTGGGGTAGAGTTAATTTTCTTCACAGTGGCTGGTATGGGGCTGCATTTTGGATTTGTGCTGAACACAGTGATGATAATACAGAGATGTTTTTGTTATTGCTGAGCAGGGCTTACATAGAGCCAAGGCCTTTGCTTTTTGTACTGTTACACTGCTGAAGATTTTGGGGGTGCATGGAAGGCTGGGAAGAGACACAGCTGGGACCCCAACTGACCAAAAGGATATTCCATACCATATGGCATCATGCTCAGTATATAAAGTGGAAGGAAAAAAGAGGAAAGAAGGGACATTTGCAGTGATGGCGTTTGTCTTCCCAAGTACCTGTTAAGCGCCATAGGGCCCTTCTCTCCTGGAAGTATCTGAACACCTGCCTGCCTGTGGGAAACAGTGAATTAATTCTTTGTTTTGCTTTGCTTGTATGTGGAGCTTTTGCTTTCCCTATTAAACTGCCTTTATCTCAACCCACAAGTGCTCTACCTCTTACCCTTCTGGTTCTCTCCCCAGTCCCACTGGAGGGGGAGTGAGCGAGAGGTTGCTTCGGGCTTGGAGGCTGGCTGGGGTGAAACCACAACAGTCAGCACATACCCACCCCACCTCTTTTCCAGTTCTCTCATGCACACATCTAACTAATTCATTTGCAAAGGACTCTACTCTGATTTTAGAACATCAGTCTTATCAATTTGACTTTACCCCAGGCTCTCACCATTAGCAGTAGGAGTCTTTGGCATCTGTGGCTGTGGCTTTTTGGCACCTTTTTCTATCCGTATAGTGGCCCACTGTCAAACAGAAAGAAAACATTAATTTCACAAATGCTGTATTCACTCAAGGAAGAAAAGTCACCTAAAAAAAAAAGCAACAGTTAATCAAAGACAGCCTGTGATTTTCAAAGAATATCTACACCAGGTAATCATCACCCATCTTCCTCAGATGTGTTCACAAACCCAAACCCATACAGTTTCTATGAAGAAACAAACAAAGAAATAAAAAAGCAAACAAACAAAAACCACCAGAACCACCCCCCCCAACACTCTTTGCTAGTCAGTACTTCCCAGTTGTACTTGTCAGTCTTCAGAGAGCCACCTCAGAGCTTTAGTTCCAGTTCAGACACAGCCACCAAGAGCCTGAAAGGCCTCTGTCAGCCTTGCTACTTGCACACCACCCAGCAAATCCAGGCTGCATGGGAAGCTCCAGGAGTTGAGCTAGACAACACCCCTTGAGCACACAGCACAGAATGTTCACAGAGCTGACAGACACATTACAACTCAGCCAGAGTAGTTTCACCATACTGAAGCAAAAGAAAGTCCTAACTGGGTTAAGTCAAACTAAGGCCTGCACACAGTTAATTCCACTAAAAACCAAGACAGCATTTGCAGTCACAGGAAGCTTCATTTAAATGCAATCTCAGTACAAAAAAGGACTGCACCCAAGATTTTTCCAAGCTGAACAAACCAAAAATTCCACTTGACTCTGCAACTGCTCATTTCTTGGCATTTTCAAAGAACCATAGTGGTTTGGTTTGGAGAGGATCTTCAAGTTCATCTAGTTCAAAGTCCACTGCCATGGGCAGGGACACCTTCCACTAGACTAGGTTGCTCAGAGCCCCATCCAGCCTGGTCTTGAACACCTCCAGGGACTGGGCATCCACAACTTTTCTGGGCAACCTGTGCCATGGCCTCACTACCCTCACAGTAAAGATTTTCTTCCTCATAACTAATCTAAACATACCCTCTTTCAGCTTAAGGTCACCCCCCCTTGTTCTATCACTGCGTGCCCATGTGAAAAGTTCCTCTCCAACCTTTTTGTAAGCCCCCTTTACACACTGGAAGATGCCATAAGGTCTCCCCAGAGCCACCTGTTCTCCAGACTGAACAGCCCCAACTCTCTCAGCTCTCACTTTAGAGCTCTGAGCAGCAGAGGAACAGGCCAAATCCCCAGCTCTATTGATACAGCTGCAGAGAGCCCCTTCTCCTGCCCTTGGGAGGGGCTGCCAGCTCACTGGGGTTAACCTGCTCTTTTCCAGCGGGTGGGCTGAGAGAATGAGATTGGAATAGGTGATAAAGTAAGCTCTGCTCTCCAATGAGTGTCAAAGCTTCCCAGCTGCCCTGCTTCTTGCATGCAGGAACCTCACCAGAATTAGGAGATCTCCTCTCATTTCCAGTCTCGGTGAGGGTGGAGCCAGTTTAACCTGTTCTCAGGGCAAAAGACTTTCTTGACCTTCATCTGACTCAGTTCCACAGAGTGCTTTTATTACACCCTGCTATCTCAGCTTCATTTTTACTGAGTTAACAATTACACCCCCTTTTCCACCCCAAAGCCTGTGATGTCAGAGTAGCCCTTCTTGCCTGGATCCTTCCTTTCCCTACATGGCAGCTTTGCTAAGGGATGGAAAGTTCAGCCAATAAGGGCTGACTCTGTGGCTCCCCACTATGCACATTAATTCCTCCTCCACAAGACTTCATACTATTTCTAGGAATATAATAGGCATATTCAAGACAGACAGGGGATCTGGGAGAAATGAGCTCATAGGAGAAGATCAGGGTATTATCCTGTTCAAACCTTAACAACTTAAGCAGCATACTTTTTTAACAGCATACCAATGATGCTCACTGGTCTGCACAGGAAGGACCCAGACCAAAGATAAACCATGCATTTTCCACCTCTGAGGTCTAACCAAGCCGTGGGGCATTCAGAGATGCAGCTCCCTTTTGGAAGGTCAGCATCCTGACTTGTGGCATTATCTCCACCACACAGCTTCCCAGTACGAGCCAGTACTGCTTCATGTATCAAGTCTTGCTGAATCACAACCTACCCTACCAATATAGCCATTTGTTTTCTCAGCTCTGCTGCTGCTAAGGCAATAGCTCTTCCAGGAACTCAGTACTTTCTGGCTACACAATATCCTCAGTAGTGTTATGGCCATAAAACTTCTGGGAGATACCAAATTAAAATACTGTTCAGTGAAGAAACTACTCACAATACTGTCATTTATACATTTCTTCTATGAAATAGGTTTGGGGGTACAGGAAAACCAGCACATACAGTCACTCTCTGACCAAGTTTGAACCACTGAATTCAATGAATTAAAATCTCCACAAACAGGTAAGTCACTTATCACATAGAAGAGAAAGAGCATACTTGGCTAATGGTCTCAGGCAAACACACTAGCAAAAAAATAATTTTTCATCTTTCAAATTCTTTCAAAGGGGTAATCAAAACCTGGAAGAACATTTTCTGCTTGGTGTTTAGAAAGAGCACGCAACAGTCCCTGCTTCAGAAACCCTGCAGTTATGGGTTCATGCTAGACAGTGTCAAAAAGGACACAGGTTATTGAGACACACCTTTGTAATGCTCAAAAGCTTGCAACATCCTACTGTACTGCAGTATCCTTTGTCATTCTGCTATGCAAAGGAGGCAGTGGACTCTTCCCAAAGCAGACAGAAACTGCAGGCTCATGTAACTCAAGTCAGTTTCTACTGCACAGATATGTTTAACAACCCTACTGAGAAAAGTACATCCCTTCTTCCTAAATCATCTACCTTATCTCCACAGGTTCATCTACCTCCAGAAAAGTGCAGCAGCCCACCCTGGTGGGGGGAAGGAGGGAACAATGGCAGAGAGAGACTAGAGCAGATAGCTAGCTCCCTTTGCCCTCTACCCATGTTTTCCCAGGAGTTGGGAGCGCTGCCCCAGGCTTGACACCAGCATGGTATCTTGTACAAAGGTTGAGCAGAGCGTTCCAGGGAACAGCTGACTTGTGCTCCACTAGTCAATAGCTGAGGCAGTTTTATGTTCCCTGCCAGGTCTCCCACGTGATTTAAGTACACTTAATAAAACAAGCAAGGATGCGACCAGCTCCCCCTCTTTGCCAGGAGCCTTTGGGCATTCAAGGATCCACATCTACCAGATGCTACAGCAAACAAGCTTTAAGTCCTCTCTGTCAGCTTTCTTCTTCCCTCAATCCACCATATTCCCAGAAAATATTCATGTTCCAGCAACCAAGCAGCAAGACATTTTTACTTAACTTTAACTTACAGTCTAATTCTTCCACTTATTCTCAGGCACCCGAAACAATGGCACTATCATCAAAGCCAAAATCTGAACTTTGATCGAGTGAAAAGCTTGTTTATATCCAGGTTGAAAAACAAAAAAGACATGCAGCAGTGTGAGTAATTTCCCTTCCTTCCTGCAAACTAGGGATATGTACCATCCACCGCTGTTTCAGCTGGTTCCTATGCTAGAGGACAATTTTATGCTACAAAGAGTGATCACAATGTGAGCTGATCCATCCTACAGAGGGGAAAACACTGTGTTTGTGTATTAGAGATCAAAAAGCGTGAAACAATTACAAGCCACAGCCTCCATTCCACTCAGGAAATGAGCAAAAAGGAGACTGGCAGGTCTTCTGGATCTATCAGTAATATTGACACAAATCTAGGTGGCTTCTCCCACCTTGCGAGCTGGCGCTGAGCAGGTAGTTTCAAATACTTGGTGCAGACCTAAGTTTTTAGTAGGGATTCTTGAAGATGCTTTTTGGAATGAGTATAAAACACCAGGCTCCTGAGCAGATTAAAAACAGTTTTGCAGCTGGGGCTACCCACAAAACTACAACTGTAGTTAGAATGCAGCATGATCACATAACTACAAACATCACCACAAGTCTGATTTTGAAATTTTAGTATTCCAACTGCTCACAACAAAGTAGCTTGCATGTTCTAATCACACAAGGCAGAATCTGAAGATATCACACTTCACTAGGCAAGGAAAACACCAACTTTTCCCTAAAAAGGCCTCCCTCCTCATCCCCCTAGGAAAGGCCTTTAATTTATCAACACCTTAAAAAAAAAAGAAGAACCAACAATAACAAAACCAATTTAACATATACATCACTGAGCAATTGCCACACATACAGGACTTATGCAGTGCTTAGAGAAAGATACAGTCAGACTTCAGAACCAAAAATCACACAATATTTACAGGAGATGTGAAAAACCCTTCCTAACTCCAGATAAGACAGTTGCCAAATAGACAACTACCTTCAAAGACAAGCTTGACATACTGTTTCATGAAAGCACATCTAGAGATATTTTGCTAGGATCAAAAGTCAAGTTATTAGGAACACTTCAGAGATTTCCCCTGTTTCCCTAACAGATGGAGCTTAGCCTTTCACCTCATTTACCACCTTTACATCATCTCTGGCTTAATAGCAAAGTTTGACAATTATTCAGAAGAAGAGAGATGACTGAAATCTGTAGTCAAGTGAAGTTAGACTACTGGTGTTCTTCTATTTAAAGGCACTGCCAGATAAGAGCCAAAAATTTATGTGGTAGTTCAGGTGAGTACTACTCCTTGGAGTCTCTCCAAACCTCAATAACAACAGAAAGGTTTCATAGCACCTCCCACACAATGCTGCCTTGTTTAACACAGTAAAATCTGCATGCCAATTACTGGGTTGTTTTGTGTGAGGAAAGGGCACCAGCACCATCAAGAGGAGCAATCAATTCCGCGTGAGGGCAAAAGGTCCTCTTGATCTCCCATGAATCTTCTCATCCTGATGGACATCTGCCCCCTCCAAGGACCTTTCCAAATTGTTCTGCACACATGACCTGTATAGCAGGTACTTCATGGTAGACAGGTATCCAAAGACCAAGAGTCCAGCTTTACAGAAAAACACTAAGGGCATCAGCAACAAAAATGCCAAGCAGCTTCTTTTATGCCAGCTTCACAAACTCTTACTTTAAGGCAAGCTTTGAATACAACTGCTGTTATTTTTTTAACA